TGTTTGCGGTTAGTGCTGCCACCACAGTGTGTGTTAATGCCCTTGGTCTGTGTTGATGCCAGAGGCCATGTGGATGTCAGTGGTCTGTGCTGCCACCAGAGGCTATGTTGAAGTCTGTGGTCCATGCTACCCCCGAGGACCATGTTGATGTCCGTGGTCTGTGTTGCTACCCGAGGCCATGCTAGTGTTTATGGCCTATGCTGACACCTGAGACTATGTTAGTGCCTATGGTCTGTGCTGCAGCCAGGGACGGTGTTGATGCCTGTGATCTAACACTGGAAACCACGTGAGAGTCCACTACCCATGCTGCCACCAGTTGTTATGGGCAAGAAAGCTTCCTTTTGCAGTGGTGTCAGTGACTGCAGACTCATAGTTGAGAATGACAGACACAAAAGGCTTCTGTGCCAACCCCTCTCCCCGGCCCCCACAGAAAGAAGAAACAGACCAAACAGGAAGCTACTGAAGAGAGTCCTTAAACATTGTGAGAAAGATGCTGACGTGCAGCTGTTCACGGTTGGTGGCTTCTGGTTGGGGTCGGGGCTGGGGAAGGACTCAGTTACCTTTGACGGGCTGGACACTAGGAGTTTGACCACGCCCCGATGAATATGTGGACAACACAAATTGGACTTGTGTTGTTTTCTTTTTGGTGGAGAGGACACAAGGGTGGGCCTGGGAGGAATGGGAAGTGGGTGTGATCAGGATTCATTGTGTGAAATTCTCAAATAATCAATAAAAATATTATGTTGGAAAATAAAAGAAACATATGCAAACACACACAGACAAACCACACTACATATGAACACAAATGTATGCATAGACTACCCTTGTAAAAACATATATACAACACACTCCAAAGTATATATACATACCACACTACCTATGTACACACCACACATATACCTACACTATATGAACAACACACACACACACACACACACACACACAGACACACCACTTTCAAAGGCTTCAAGACGGCTGGACACCTTGCAGGTTAGGCAGCCTACAATCTCAAGGATGCTGAAGCTTGTCTGTGGCTCACAGATCTCTATGAAAGGAAAGCCAACCTTTGTAGTGTATGAAACTACAAATGCTAAGCCAGTATCAATCAGCCACATCTGTGTGGCTCTGCCTCTGGATCTGTCCTGTCAGACTGAACAAAGTATCTGGTTTTTCACTGAACCCACATGGTGGTGAGGACTAGCAGCTTTATAAAGAGGGTTGAAGTCGGGCAGTGTGAGTCCTTCGGCTCTGCTCCTCTCTTTACCTGAGTAAGCCAAGTCCTGGGGACTGTCCAGGACTGTAGACACCAGTCATCAACCTTTCTTTGGTCCTCTAAGAACGCTTAAAATCTGAGACAGTCCATTTGTGCTAATTGGACACTAGACAGACAGAGAATTGAAAGGAAGTCAAGGCAAGAAATGAACTCAGTAGAACAAGTTCTGGAAGTGGATGAGAAATAGAAATATCAGCCTTGTTTCTCTAACACCGTCATGACTCACTTTTGTAGCTCAGGATTGCCCACCCACCTACACCCCTGCATGTGTGTGTGTGTGCATGTGTGTGTGCACATATGTGTGTGTGCATGTGTATGCAAGAAAGAGACTTGCTGTGGTTGCGTCTATTAGGTGTCTGAATGAAGAATGATCAAACCATTCCAAATACTGTTTCCTTCAAAACATTCGACTCTGTCTTATAAACCAGTGACTAGAAACGTGACACCCATTTGTCAGGCAACATGTTGTTGGACCATGATCCACACATATGTGTTGGGTTACTATTTAACAAACACTGCTCAATATTCTAGCCCACTATCTTCACTTACTCGCAATGGTTGTTGTAGATATAATTCATACACTATTACAACTAACCCTTTAAGTTACAACACTCCGAGTTTTTTTTCAATAATCGTAAACTTGCAAGTAACTCCACTACGTCTTCCAGTATCCCCCAAGAAAACCCGTAGTCACTGGAGGTCAATCACTACTCCTAATTTTATTCCAACAAATACAGTTTCTGTTTGTGTGGATTGCCTCATTTTGGACTATTCATCTAAATGAAAACCTATAATACATGAAGATTATTTTACCTGGTTTCTTTTGGATATATTACAAAGTTCACCATATGTAGTGTCTATCAATACTTTATTCCTTTTTATAGCAGCATAATACTCCGCTTACATGGACATACCTCGGTTGGCTTATCTGGTTATTAATTCATGGGCATTTGGGCTGTGTTCACTTTCAGTTATTGTTCACAGCTTTGATACACATAAATGTACATAGATTTTTTTGCATATCCAAACTTTCCCAATGCTCTTGATTATACACAACTTCTTCATGTCTGTATGTGTATATGTGTGTTTATGTATATCTATGTGTATATCTGTGTGTAAATGTGTACATGTCTGTAGATATCCTTGTGAATGTGTATCTATGTGTATCCATGTGAATGTGTGTCTGTGTGTATCCATGTGAACGTGTGTCTGTGTGTATCCTTGTTAATGTGTCTCTGTGTGTATCCATGTGAATGTGTGTCTGTGTATCCATGTGAATGTATGTGTGAATGTATCTGTGCGTGTTTGTGTGTACAAATGTGCCTGTATGTCAGTGTGTTTATGCGTGTCTGTGTATATATGTATCTGTGTGATTATATGTCTGTGTATGTATGTGTGTATGTCTGCCTGTGCATCTATGTGTATGTATATGTGTGTTTCTCTGTTTGTTTACATTGTATGTATATGTATATATGTGTGTCTCTATATGTGTCTATGTCTCTGTGTATGTATAGGTATGTATATGTGTCTGTGTGTGTCTCTCTGTGTCTGTCTGTGTATGTATACGTGTCTCTCTGTGTCTATGTCTGTGTGTGTATATATGTGTCTCTCTGTGTGTCTGTCTGTGTATGTATATGTATGTATATACGTGTCTCTCTGTGTCTATGTCTGTGTGTGTATATATGTGTCTCTCTGTTTCTATGTCTATGTATGCATGTGTCTCTGTGTGTGTTCTCATGGTTCTGTTGTCTGTGTTAACAAGTGAACATCCTGTAAACCGCACTGTTCCAGCTCTGAGAATCTAACCTCCCTTCCTCAGAGTGTCTTCATGCCACTGTTTGCTTGATGGACTTTCCACACTAATCCTGTATCATCGGTTTTTGCTGCTGATTGCTGAACCTCTTCTCGACTGGATCAATGCTTGGTCCTTCCTATCCTTGGAGTCAGCCTGTCCCCTGGCTTTCCTGAGGGCCAGGGATCAGTGTTTTCCTTAGCCCTGTAGGTTTCCTTACCTCTGTACCCACACTCAGGAGGCTGAAATGTCAAACTGGTTCTGATTTTAGGGTTAACTCTTCCGACTACAGGTTTCCTGTTCGTTCCTTCCAGCAAGAAGCTTTTCTCTTGAAAGAATGGAAAGAGGGCCAGCGCTTTATACTTAGAGACTGGACATCATGACCTCATCCTAAATGGCAGGCAGTTGGGTGTAGAGAAATATGCAGTCAGTAGGCCTCTCCTCTGTGCCTCCAAACCAGGGCTACACAATGGCCACTGTAATTGTCATGGGCTTCCTAGAACCCCCACTCCCAGAGTAGTAGGGACACCTTCACTGGGCGGTGGCCACGTAGGGCAGGTTCTTGGATCACCATCTCATAAGACACCCCAGAAAACTCTTCATGGGAGCCTGTAAGAGGTGGGCTTCCCATTCCAGATCTTTCCCTGGCTTAGTCAGAGCCCAGCTGCTCATCTGCAGACTTGTTCTTTGGGGTCATGTACCTAAGGTTCCAGAGGATTCGCCCTGAAGTTAGTAAAGGCTGTAACTCATGGTACAGAAACGGCTATGTGTGACTGTTTATACCGTGAGAATTTTAACACAGAGGGAAGGCCCTGTGCTCTCTGCTTCAGCGCACAGAGAGCATAGAACGGCACGGTGGACGCAAGCGGTTTGTGGCGTGGCAAGAGGGAAAAGGGGAGAGCAAACAGATGCTTAAGGCTTCAGCTGTTTTTAAGACTCTTTACCACAGTAGCTCAGGCCTGGCTGAAGGCAGCAGTAACCCTCAAAAGACCCTATTGCAAGGGTCTGGGGGAGGAGGCTCCTGGGCTGGTTGGGGTTCAAAGACCTGAGGTCTAATTACCGGCATAATTAGGGTAGGAACAAGTTGCTCTCTGCAGAGGCCTTCTGTGCTTTGCTGGGAGAAAGCGCCTTTAAGCATTCCCAGGGAGTCGCCTGGGAGAGGAGGCGACCCCATGCCGGGCGCCGACTTGGTCTTTAGCTTGTCCTATGTAATTTTGAGCACTGTTTGAATGTGCTAACGAGGCACGTTATTTTTAGCCATGTCAGCAAAGGGATCCAATTCCTGCACAGTTGTGCCTCTTGCGTAAGTGATTTGTTTTCCAACGACCTTCATGAGAGCCAGAGAAGCATGCCTTCCCTGGAATGGGCCTCTGCTGACCCTGGGCCTTCCTGGGGCAAAGGGTTGGGAAGTGGAGAAGAGGCCTGTCTCCCTGCAGTAGGGGAGGGACACTCAGGACGCTGCAGGAACAGTGGTTCCGAAGATAAAATTAACATGGCGTATGACTGGTTGGAAGTGGGCGGGTTGCGGAGGGGTGAGGGAGCCTGGCAGGGTTCTGGCCCTGACAGAGCTTCTCAGATGAGGGCTGGGAAATGCACTGCCTCCGTGTGCTAAGGGGAAAGGTCTGAGGAGCAAGTGTGCTCTAGCCTGCTCTTGTGGCCATTAACACTGATGGGACCAGCAAGTCCAGACAGGGAATTGTGGGGACACAAGGTTCCGAGTGGCTGTCAGTTCCCAGTGCATTGAGGGAAGAAGGGCGACTCTCTTCTGAGGAAACAGGAAAAAGGACCATGACCCTGAGACCATGTGGAAGTTGTCACCCTGGGGCCAAGTGACCTGGTCCTGTAGGGGCCAGAGGAAGCTGTATGGGCCACTTCCAGGTCCTGGGGGAAGGCGTAGTGGAAGGCAGAGGGAGAGTCGTGCTGAAGCAGGCGTGGTGAGCCCAGAAGCAGGAAGAATTTACTTCTGGGAGAGCAGAGAAGATGGTATTAGGGGTAGGAGGGGCCCACATAGCAGCTTCCTCCTCCCAGGCCTGGACTCCTCAGAAGGAATCGAGCCGTGCTTGAGAGAGGCAGACTGAAGCGGTTTCGTCTACGCGCCGGGGAGGGAAGAAAGAGGACCAAGCCTAGTATACCATGGTGACTTCGGGTGTCCTCTGACCAAGCACCATGGGGCCAGGGCCTTTCCCGTGAGACAGACCCGGGCGGATTAGCTCCCCTCGGGAACTTTCCGACTCTCAGTTTCTTCCTTGTGTTAATTCATCTGTAAGATAAGAGGTAGAGAGAAGCAAGCACTGAGGCAGGAAATGTTTCTAAATATGAGTCCCAGGTTTGGCTTGATGCCATTTTCCTGTCAAGACCCTATCTTAAGGCAGCTTTGAGGAGGGGGTAATGTCCAGGAGTGGTGAAATCCCTGAAGCGAGAGGAAGCCGGGGATGGAGATGAGCTGGTCTGTCTGTGTGCCACGAACCTTTCAGCCACAAATCAGAAGCCAGCACTGCAGAGAATCCAGAAGCCTGCAGAAGGGGGAGGAGGCTCAGGGGGTCGGGGTCAGAGGCTGGGAGTGGACAAGGAATGAAGAGCTGGGCATCAAAGCCCCCTCTGAGGCCGTGCGGTGACTGTAGCTCCAGGAAGCCTGGTACCAACACGTGGTAGCCATTTCGACACAGGTGCACCGGACCTAAGTTTGCAAGTGAGAAAAACCCAGCAGAAATGGAAGACAAAGAAGATCTAAGTGGGAGGGACGTCGCTGACAGGGAGGGGCCACGGGCTCACAGTGAGCCTCTGCTGTGGACAATGAAGAAGATGCTCAGGTCACACTCACACGTGTGCAAACTGACGTGGTGTGTGTGTGTGTGTGTGTGTGTGTGTGTGTGTTAGGGATGAGGAGCAACCACAAAACCCCAGCACACTTCCCATGTGCCTATGATACACACTCTCAGTTTGAGAGCAGGTGGATTTCCACTTTTAAAAAATGAAACCGGGACCTGGCTGCAATCTGTTGGACCTGAGGTTCCTAAGAACAGATGAATACGTAACAACAGCAACAGGACCAGTCACAGCAGCCATGGGTGTGCCATGAGCACCTGGTTCACTCTGGGCGAGTGGGGCTGAGACCACCACTAACGTGCAGTGGCCACCAGGTATAGGGACCGTCAGAGCTTGGGAGCAGTCACTTAGCTATGTCAGAAAATACGTTCTGAAATGCTGAATTTCTGTCTTCTGAGAGCCAGCCCTAGCCACGACTTCAGAGATGCATCTCAAAACTGAATGGAAATATAAAGCGACAATGCCCTAGGTCCCTAAACAGGACATTTTGAGACCAGTGAGACCTGTTTTCCACAGATTAGACATGTACCCCTCATGTGTGTCCCCTTACGAGATCATCTTGTCCTTGGGCATCATGGGGCTGGCCCCTGATTGGCCCAGGCCTCCTGTTCCCCACTAGTTTAGTGGTTTTAGAAGGCTCCTGATCTACCACTGTAAGATGGGAACTCTGCTATCCAAGGCTAACTCACCCTGCAGCCAGAGGTTTTATTCTGCATCCCAGCCACAGGGGTCCCATGGATTATGTGGATGAACATCCCAGGGTGGTCATATGACATCCTGGAAGACAGAGGCTTTCTTCACTCCTCCTGAGGAATGAAGAAAGACTAGGAAGTAGCCTGTGTGGCATTCCGGCTGGAGTTGGGGACAATGGCTACATGATCACCTGACCTCCTGGCAAAGGGAACCTGCAAAGTCATCCTTGACATGGGACATTGCTGTAAGGGTGCTTCTTGTTCAGCAAAATTTCTCCTTTCAAACCGGGCATAGATGCCACTGCCTGGTGCCTTCCTGAGGGCACAGGGCACACACGGGTTACTGAGCAGAGTTCCCAGTATAAAGATGGGATGTCACAGGTAACATGAACTCCTGCTGCACATGACCTAAGCCATCCTTCATGGTAGCCTCTGACCTGGTCTCTGCTTCGGACATATCACCTGAAGCTTCGTCAGGAAATCGTTAGCGAGACTGAGAACTCTAGGCCAGGACAGACAGGTGGTTGGAGGATGCTGGCCCACTCACCCTGACACATGCTGAGTCCAGAAAAAGCCAGTGGGGTAGCAGACGCGACAAACATGCCTCGCTCACTGCCCCTGCATCCTTGCCAGTGACCCAGAGGGACTACATGATCCCAGAGAAGGATGGACCAAATGTTCATCACAGGACAAATACAGCAGGGGTGTGATGGGGTGACAGCTTTCCAATCCCCGCGTTGTTAGCCTACCCTGAAAGGTTGACCTTTCTAAACACACACAGGTCTCATCCCTTCAGAGGGTGACAGCGTGTCCCCTGCCCTGTGGAAACAGGGCCCTGATAGGTCTCCTCTCTGCTGCTTATCACACGCCGAAGGCCAGGCTGGGCCTCTAATAGTTCCTTTTCAGCGCACTGCCTGCTGCTGACTGCGGAAAGTGTAGGTTTGGCTGCATTGATGGCCCTCGGTAATGGCTGTGATTACACCCTCTGCATCCTCTTCGCAGTGCCAGCCTTTCCGCCGAGCAGCACATTATGCCTGGATAAGACTCAAAGAGCGGCTTAATACCAGGTTCTCGGGGCTGTAATGAGCGGTTCAGGATGGGGCAGACACAGCCGCAGCAGTTGCTCGGCAGCCCGCGGTTCAAACACATCGTGGCGTCCGTGGGCACCTTTTTGAGTTAAAGCTCGGCTTACACCTTTGCTTGGATCATGGGAAATGAGTGAGCATAAACACAAAAACAAATACCTCGCCTTCCACGCGGCACAAAGCCACCGACTGCCTCCCAGTTAGACTGGGAAGACAAGCATGCCTCGGCAGAGGGAGCCGGCTGCGGCAGGCAGATGGTGCGGAAATCCTGTGTATATCACAGAGGTGGCTCTTGTCACCTCCCATGGTGTCTTTCAGAACTCTCCTGAGTCTACTGGACTCTTTTGTTTTCATTATTGGAGGGCGAGGTGGGAATGTCATTTAACTCAGCCTGTGTGCCATACACACAAAGAAATCGAGGGCATCAGAAAGGAGAGCACCCTTGTCTCAGTCCTGGGTGCAGTTCCCATGGTGTAGCCTGGAGGTGGGGGTTGCTGCTTTCCCAGAATGCATGGTTCTGCGATGGAGGCCCAAAGGCTGACAGACAGACAGATACTAGCCGTGTCGTATGCTGCCTGGGGGATTCAGACTCTCCTCCTTGTCACTGTCTCTTACTGTGTAGGGAACTACACAGTGGACCTAGCGCCAAGTACCTGGGAACAGTGTCAGACTCCAGGATAAAGACCAGAGTCACCGATAGCACGGGGTTGGCTTCAGATGATGACCACAGGCTCGGGGTTCCAGTTCATCCACAGTTTCAATAACTGTCTGCAAACCTGGGGGTTTGCATGACCTCTTCACTTTGATAATTCCCCTAATCAGTTCCCAACACTCAGGGACACCCTGAACTCACGGTTGCAGTTTTCTTGTCACCCGGGCAACTCACCACAAACCAAATGAAGGGGAGGGTTCTATAGTAGGGCTTGAAGCTCCCTCTCTCCCCCAAGTCGAGGACCCTCCCTCCTAGTTCATCTGTGTGTGTGCCCACCAAGGCACCCTCTCCAAATGCCTACTGGATGGACACTCCTCATTAGCCCACTGACCTGGGACAAAGCTACCATCCCACTCTGCCTCTGGAGAACCCAGGTGATGACCCACACCACAGAGCACCTTCCTGGAGCATGCGCCTGGTCTCTCTGAATGTGACAAGCCCCTATTAGCTTAAGATTTCTAGGGGTTATATGAATAACCAAAGCATCCATCATGAGAGCTCAGAAGCTACCTCCTGAGACTGTGGGATAAGGGACAGACATACTCTCCACTGCATTAGGAATATAAGATGTATTCTTGTATCCTGCTGCTGCTAGTAACCACAGTCCTGTGCACCACAGTGATACAGACCCAGGGCACTTTGGTTAAGAGCCAGCAAAATGATAGAATAGAGTTTACTTGGTAGATTCTCTGTGAACACATCTAGGAATACTCATTTCTGCATGAGCTAAGGTGCACGGCAACTGATTTTTGTCAAAGTCGCAAATATCCGCTGCTTCTCAGTACAAAACGATTTGTCAGAATCTTAAACTGGTTTTATTTACGCTGTCCATTACCTTTGAATTTTATGTGATTGTCTGCCATGTTTAATGGAAGATTGATTAGTTAGCCCCGTAAACCAGCGCGGAAACCAACACATTCAAATTGTTTTTACAACCCCGCAGTATTACCTCCAGTGGTGCTTTGAAGTCAGTGTTATTTTCTGTGTTTGGTAAAATGCTGATTCTGATGAAGTGCAGAAGTCTGCATGCCACGGGAGTTCACAGAGCCAGTAAGGGATGGGCCACCTGCGGGACATAGCAGAGAGACACATGTTCAAGTCAAACACACAGCAGCAAGCAGCTCAGAAAGTCAAGTGCATGCCCAGACAAGAGGAAGCCCCACCGTCTTCCATATGCCAAAGAGGTTACCTTGTTCTGCCATCTTAGAAACCACAGCAGCCTGCCGAGGCACCAGGGTGTACGTGGGATGCTGAGGGGAACTGTGGGATGGTTTGGATCCTGGAATTTTCCAGCGAGGCGATCACATGATGCATTTGCATCAGGGAGGAAGAGGTTTCAGCCACTGGTGTATGTGGTAGGAGGTGTTTTACCACTGACTCCACAGAAGGCGATAGTGGCCTGCTTCGTAATGTGCTACGATGGCATCTTCAGGCCCAGATATGACCTCCTTGACAGTGGAGTGTAGGGACAGGGGTGGCGGGGGTGGGGAGGGTGGGGAGTGTCTGCTGGCCCTGGCAGGGTTCTCAGCACCTGCTGCAGGTACAGGGATGACTGCATCACAATGATTGAACCTGGGGTGTATTGTCATCCAACACACATTTGCTGGCAACCAGTCTGTCACCTTCAGAGCTGTCAAGATCCTTGGTGACAAGACGGTAGTGAGGAGTGTGTTAAAGACAGTGTCTGGGACTCTATGAGAAACAAGGTGGCCATCACGTCTGCACTTCAACAATGTCTCTACTCTGCATGCGCCTAACAGCCCACATTCTAACCTGAGTCACACTCCTCTCATTGACATAGTAAGAAATAGTTAGGATCTGGCTGTCCTCAGGTGGCACAGAAGCCCCTGGCTCTATGGCTCTAGATTTGGTATCTTCCAGATGCCTTAGCCAGCTCTACTGGTTTTATAGAGGTCACTGTTCCTAGATAGAGTGTCCAAGCTCAAGAAGGGCTATATTACATGAATGGCAATTCAGGGAAAATTAAATTGAGTTACCAAAACCAGGTTAAAAACAGGACTTTCAAGGAAAGAAACAAAATCTGCACTGTACTGAGATTTATGGACCCAAAGAACAAGAGGGCCCTTGAGACATGACTGGTTAGTTTTAAGCATCAACTTGATACAACCTAGGATCAACTTGATACAACCTAGGATTACATAAACACAGAGTGTCAGTTGAGGGCTTGCTAAGACCATATTGGCCAGTGGGCATGTCTGTGGGGGGTTATTTAAACTGTTGATTGATGTAGGAGAGTCCAGCCCACTGTGAGTGGCGCTATTCCCTAGGCTGGGCCCTGGACTGTTTAAGAATGAAGGAAGCAGTCTGAGCCAAAGCAGGCAATGAGGATACATTTCTTTCTCTGCTCTTGACTCTGCCTGTGCTGTGACCGGCTGCTTTGAGTTCCTGCCTTGACTTCTCTTTAGTGATGGATTGCAACATGGAATTGAAAGCCAAGTAAAGCCCTTTCCTCCACCGTGCTGCTTTTGGAGTGGGTGTTTTATCACAGCACTGATGGTTTCGTGATGGTTGGGTGGAACAGAGGGAGATGGTAGAAGTGCTGGAACAGTCAGGCGTTGGTGGCTGGATGGAAACGCCAAAGCCACAGCCACAGCAGAGTGGATGTAGAGAAGAGGATGAAGCAGCAGATGAAACTCCCCAACTCCCAACACCCAGACTGCAGGTAAAACACAGGAAGGGGACATTGTATAGAAAAGTCTAGCAAAACATTAAGAGCAAGACTCAAGATCTCCTTTATTGCTGAAGAGTGGGCATCTTCACCTCACTTCCACAACATGAGTTTCCTGTCACGCTGGGGATCAGGCTTCCTGTGTGTTACTTGGGTGACAACAAAATCCAGACTGTATTCTTTGGTCACCTTGGCTTGGTGGAGCAGTAGCTCAGTGTCTGCAGAGCCCCACCCCCCAGGCATGGGGTGAGCAGAGCGGCTGGTCTTTAAGAAGTGGGAAACACAAGGTTGTATATGAGCCTTGCTTGAGCTGGAAGTCACAGAGCTTGATGGCCTCAGGGGCAAGGAGCTCCTGGCTGGGTGTACTCCCAAGGGGACCAGACTCTGAGCTTCCTGTCTCCCCATATTTCCCCACCTAGATTCTCTGTCACCAGGGTTCACCCACTACAGTATCACAAGACAAGGGGGATCCGTGGGTTAATTCTATATGATCAGTCATGAGTATGTTCCTGTCCTGAGGGCCAGAGATTCACAAGAGCCATGACAATGCACTCTGTCAGGTCAAGGCTGGGACCGGGCTGTTTCTAGAACCCTGGGAGGAAGCAGGAGTCATGCTGAGTCATGTCACATTTTTTTTTTGGTCTGCGTTCTATTGCTGGGATGAACACCATGACCCAAAGCAACTTGGAGAGAAAAGGGTTTATTTCATCTTACAGTTCCACATCACGGTCCATCACTGGAGGAAGTCAGGGCAGTAACTCAAACAGGGCAGGAACTGGGGGGCGGGAGCTGATGCAGAAGACTGGAGGATGCTGCCCAGAGGCCATTTTCTCAATTGAGGTTCTCTCTTCCAAAATCAGTATATCTCGTGTCCAGTGGACACAAAACTGACTAACACACATGCCTTCTGCCCAAGGACAGAACGTACAGGGAGACATGGTCTAACACATGTGGAAATTCCTTTCCCCAGATTCTGGTTGGTTGACTGTGTGCTGGCTGGCCATTGGTTGGCAGATGGTTGGCGGGATGGTCGGCTGGCACTCTTGAGTTGGCTGGCTAGTTGGTTGTCTGCATAACCGCATGGCTGACTGGCTGGTTCGCTGGTTGGTTGTATGCCTAGGTTGCTGGTACTGGTTGCTTGGCTAATTGTCTAACTGCCTGGCTTGCTGGTGGGCTAATTGGTTAGTTGGTTGTTTTGTTGGTTGGTGGGCTGGCTGACTGGCTAGATGGTGGTCTGGTTGGCTAACATTTTTTAAAGCTATAGGATAGGATTTGGAATTCCAAAGGTCAGCTTCCAACTTAATAAGAAGGACATTTTTTTAAGTCTATTTCATTTCCTACCCCAAATTAAACTGAATTAGAGACGCCTGCCACCATGGTTCTCTTCCACTGCTTGTGGAGTTTCTTTTTAATTCAGAAGTGTGAAGCATGAAGTCCTGCCTCTACTTCCTAGGCCACTACCTCCACAGAGCAGGGGGCTGAATAATTTTCATTAAGTGGTGTTCAAGGAGATACCTGATTACAGCTTCCCTCCTATCTGTGGTCTAGAAAGAGATTTCTTTAAAATCCAAAAGGATTTGCAAAGTAGCAATATTTGTCACAGCAGGATATGCATATTTGCAAGCATAAAATACAGTATGCAAATATATTCCATTAAATATAAAATGTGTGCATGTCATGTGTCTTTTAGGAATATTTATTTTTATTTCATGTGTATAACTGTTTGCATTGTATGCATGTGCACCACAGGCAAGCCTGGTGCCCACGGAGGCCAGAAAAAGGCATCAGAGCCCCTGAAACTGGAATCGCAGATGGTTGTGAGCTGTCTGGTGGGTGCTGAGAACTGAACCCAGGTCCTCTGCAAGAAGAGCAAAGTGCTCTGAACTGCTGAGCCATCCTTCCAGCTCTTTGCCTTGTGTCCTTATATAAGCTTCTATGTGCACACTGTTTTTGAGGGATGACTGGGGTGGGGGAGGCTGATGAAATGAGAGGCCACCAATCCTAGAGCATTATTAGTGGACAGAGTGGTACCCGTAGATGAAGTTGGCTCTACAGCCTGCAAGGCAGCTGTGATGTGCGAGAGTAGTGTCATAGGGACCCTCCCATGCAGGAGCAACTACTGATGGCCGATCAGGATCCTGCTCGGAATCCTCCTGTACCCTGAGCCTTCTCTCCTTGCTCCTCTAACTCCAGGTCTGCAGACAAGCTCTGTCTCCCTTCTGGCCCCATCCTCAAGCTCCTGGTCTCTTGAGCTACTGGGCTGGCCAGGGGTCCTCCCTTCGGGTCCCCAGTTGGCGCATCATGGACTCCACCATGTACACCGCTCCAGCGTGGGCCCATAAAGGCTTTCTGAATGCCACACTGGAACAGCCATTAGGAAGAGTCGGTAACGCCAGCCATTTAATTCTTGAAGGCAGGCCAACTCAAAGGAACACCTGGAAACTTCCTACACCCTCTAGTGGGACAGGACAATAGCTTGTCTCTGCCCAGTGACAGTGACAAATGTTGTGCCCATAGTCAGCAGGAGGGGCTGAGATAGGACCGAGTTTCAGGCGGAGCACGCTGGGAAAGACTCTCGACACAAAAGTGACACTGAGCCAGCCCAGCCAAGTGCACACAAACTCACCAGCTTCCCGAAATCCACCATGAGCAGAATTCCTCTACACTGAGGAGCAGGGGCCAGAGGACAGGGAGCTGCACACAGGGCCTGAGGAGGTCTGACTTCCCCTCTTCTCTTGAGGTGACTTTTTGTACCACCAAAACTTCATGGTGTTCAGCTGTCAGGGAGTCAGCCATTGTTGGGGTATTTTACCCACTCACCCCAGTTTCCAGGGGCTGAGCTACCTGCAGAATCATCTCCCTCCACACTCACGGGTCTGTAGCCACAGATCCAACCAACCCCAAATTAAACCTGTTTCTGTATCAAACTCATAAGAACATTTTTTCTCATAGTTGGCCCCAAACAGTACAATAAACAGCTTTTTGCTCAGTGTTCATGTAACAGGTACACAATATCAGAAGATTGTCTCCGTGTGTGCGTGTGTGTGTGTGTGTGTGTGTGTGTGAGAGAGAGAGAGAGAGAGAGAGAGAGAGAGAGAGAGCGAGAGCGAGAGAGAGAGAGAGAGCGAGAGCGAGAGAGAGAGAGCGTGTGTGTATACATATGATTGTGTGTTTGTGCGCATACATATGATGTGTGTGTGCATACATATGAATGTGTGTGTTTGTGTGTGCATACATTGTCAGTATTTCTAAAGAAAGGCTTGGCATATGAAGAGGTTGAAAGAATAATGACCAAAATGAGGCAGCTGCTAAGGTGACAAGGTGTGTAATGATGGCTGAGAGATGAAGACACGTCACTCAAACCCCAATGAGCTGATAGTCTGCACGTGTGACAGGATTTCCCACCTCCACAGCCAACGTGTCAGGCTTCAGGCAGTGACTGCCTCACTGCTCGTGCCCAGTCTCGCTGCTATGGTGTCCTTAACTGTGCCAAAGTGTCAGACACTGACGTAGCCCTCAGATGACAGACACGACAAAGCAGTGCCTCTGAGCCCAGAGCTGGAGGGGCAGAGGGTCTGGGGAGAGGGAGAACACTGGGGACATGTAACTGAGGAGGGCCAAAGGGTCAGATAAGGAGAAATGCTGGGGAGACGTGATCTGGGATCTGGGAGCAGCCAGGGTGTCGGGGAGGAGCCTCCCCTCTCTGTCATCCAGGAGCGAGGCCTGCTGGCCTGTTCTTCAGAGACCACATGCGCAGGGCCATCCTGAGCTGTGAGCCTTTCTTCTGTCTGCCCCCCT